TCAGCCTATTTGCTCTATCTTTTTGGCAGTATTAACAAATTTTGCGCCTTTATCAAATCCCTCCAACAAAATAATCCGCATGGCTTCTAATCCATGTTGTAAGGTAAAATTCAGCTGAAAATTATGATTGTAATTATTAACATGTAAGACTTCCATGTGTATAAAGTCCAGTTTGTCAATTCAAACTACAAAACAAAAGGAACGGAAATACATACTTCTTCCCTTTCTTGTTTAGTGAACTGTCGAAGAACAAATGAGACAGGATCCATTTTCCCCGGAGGTCGTCCAATACCTAATAAAATCAACAATAAATTGACAATATTATAAGTGACTGTAATATAGATAAACATTTCAATAACCTAATAAAATCAACAATAAATTGACAATATTATAAGTGACTGTAATATAGATAAACATTTCAATACTAAGAACGACATGAACTTACCAATTCTTAAGCGAGGAAAACCAGAGTTCCCTTTTAAGTGATTAATAACACTTTTCATTCTGCAAGAAAAACAAAATTAGTAATGCTTAAATATAAACTCAATAGGATGTCAAACTAAACTCAAACAAATGCTGCAATGGAGCAACAAAAAGAGAGTGAAAGATAATAATAGTTACCCATTGTGACCTCCATGTCCACCCTTTGGTAGAAGCCGCAGTTTAGCAAAAGGCAAGTCCATGTCGTCAAAGATCTGAAAAGAAAAATATTTGTTGAAATGAACACTCAAGCAGATCATCCTTCGAATTTTTCTTCATGACTTGTTGCAAATAAAAGAGCATGGTCATAGCATAGATATTATACCACAATTACTTGCTTCAATGGAATCTTGTAATATGAAACTATAGCCCCAACCTTCAAAATAGATTCCAACACAATCAACTTAGCATCAAAACAAAAAATATATATTATTATAGTAAATTCCTAGAAATAGAAACATGGATAGAATAAAGGACAAGGATATGTGCTACTGCCTCGATATGGACAAGGGGACACAGCAAACTTTTCAAACTATAAGACGTAACACAGATATACTACACAATATAAAATTAGCCTAAAATTAATATACAAACACAAATCTTAAATCAAAAGAAAGAATTGAGCTAGCAAGATTCCACATATACACACATGACTACCATCTAGCACTACCCTACGGAATGTCAAGTTTGAGCTGTCAAACACCAAATAAAAAAATCATGACTGCTCAAACACAAGTGGATTTTGCTATCCCCTGACATGTTAGGGGAGAATTTGTGGGATAATCATTTCACATTATAGAAATTAATAATATATATGAATGTCTAAATGTCTATACAAATCTCAAATCAAACTATTTAAATAACAAAAAAAAAGGATTCCTGTGTTTTCTTTTCAGCATGGTTTTCCTATCCAAATGTATCCTCCTAACTTGACCACAATTAATTTGTCCAGTTTAAAAAACTGTAATTTGGTTGATTATGCTTTCCCGCCATTAAGTCATGGAAATTAGAGTAATAGTCTTTTCCCCAAATATATAGAATTAAGTCATATACCATGGGGAAATAGTTTTTTCCAAAACTTCTATCCACTATATTACTACATCTGAAGATTCTCTAGACATAAGACTTACAGATTCACCACTTGCATTCATAAAAGTCTGTGGTTTTGCAAGTAACACTGGTACATCGCCTATAAAACCTGCAATAGGAAAACAGCTGTTACAAATGGGTACATGCAAACTAATTGAGAAAAGTATGAAGTTATAGGATTTTCTCTTTTCTTTTTTTTTCCTAGTGGGATGTAATCCAAAGATTTAATATCCAGAAATTAAGGTAGCAGCAGAAAATGAAATCATCTTTAGAGTACAGAACCTTTTCTACAGTACCAAACCAGACATAATTTCGGAAACATGGTAGCCGTGTGGCATTACTAACTAAATGACCAATCGAGATGCCATTATCAAAACAACTTTTTTTGGTAAAAGGTGGCCACACTCAATAGGATAATTCAATATTAGTAATCAATTATCATAATGTTCAAGACTGAACTGAATCCAAATTCAAAAATGTCACTAACAGGTGGTAATGGCAAATTATGCAAAAACCTCGGACTCTACGCAGGAAAAAAACATGATAAGCCAGATCAAAGTAACAAACTCTCCAAAAATCAAATTAATTATGAAATTTCCAACCTTTTCCAAATAAAGCTTTGAAGGAAACACTGCTCATAGAAATCCCTTCAGCTTCAGCTATAGCATCAACCATCTCAAATCCCACCTGAATCAATCAAAACAGAGTCCAAATCAAAGCAAACTAATCAAAACAAAAAGTAACTCAAGCACATGAATCTGCACATCATACTAACATTGTGGCGTGTAGCAGCGTACTTTTTACCGGGATTACCGAGACCGACGATTAACCAGGGTTCATTCTGCTTCGACTTTGAGGGTTCAATGGCGGTGGTGGCTATGGATGAAGTGGAGGAATTTCGAACAGATAACAAACACATATTGAAACGCGTAGAGATTAGGGGTTTTGTGAAGTTCCAGATTGGAAACTGGAACCGTAGCACCGAACAAGTTGCAACGTTCATCGCTCAGAAATGAAAACCCTAATTTTCGAGTAACCAAAAAAACCCAATTAGGGTTCGGTTTGGAAGAAGAAAAATCGCGTTGGATGAAACTCAGAAAAAAAAATCGTATTGAATGAATCTCGGAAAAAAAAATGCGCCGTTGCCGGGGATCGAACCCGGGTCACCCGCGTGACAGGCGGGAATACTTACCACTATACTACAACGACTTGTTGATGACAAATTTCTGATTATGTGGATAAAATATAGATTATACATATCAGTTTTTTATTTGATAAAGAGTGGTCTAGTTTCATTCGTTACTGTCAACATTCATCATTATTATTGTGAAGAAGGCCAATTGTTTAAATCATTGAAGAAATAAGTGCAAAACTGTATATGTATCTTTTAATCGAATTAATATATATTTGAATATGAATATTATGTATATTCTCTACCATAGACAAAATAATGCTAGTCATATTTGCCAATTTCCTTTTTTTTTTAATAAATTCTCATTGTGTTGTTTACAATTTAATATTAAAAATAAGATATTAAGCATTATTAAATAAACCAATTTTTTAGTGGGAGAAACCGATGCATATTTCAGTAAAAGATATATAAATATGAGAATAATGTGAGATCAATCAAAAGTGTAAAATAATGTTTAATATGAGAATAGTTCATCCCACCTCAATATTGATGATGTGAGAAATTAATCCGTTGAATCCCTGACACTCAAATCAAAAAAAAGTTTAGTGCATTGTTTTAAAAAGTTGATCAGAGATATAATTGAAACCTTTTCTAGGTATTGTTAAATTGATTAAATCAATTTGAATTGTGGTTGAATCAAATAATAAGTAAATAACAAATAAAATAAATATAGAGTTAAATTTTAAATATAAAATTTCTAAACTTGTTATAAATTCAGTATTTTAAAATGCTTAATATTAACAAATAAGTGTAATACTATTTGTAGAGATATTTACTAACTTGCTTAGTCGTAGGTCAAATTCCAAATTAAACCTTAATTGATAAACTAAAATTATTTGGGTGTTACTTTATATATAGGGTATTATTTTAGCACGGTGAAAAGTTATAATTATTTTTAAATTATTATAATTGTTTTTACGTACGACAATGCTTAATACATATGACGGGTAACATTTTTCTATTCATTTTCACGTCAAAGAAGAAAAGATCTGTGACCTACGAAGACAACAACAAGAGTGCAATAGTTGGTAAAGGTAATGTAGGTAATCTTTTTTCTGCTATTATCTCTGACGTAATACTTGATGAATGTTTTAAATATAATATGCTTAGCATTAGTCAACTATGCGACAAATGCTATAAAATAACTTTTACAAATAGTTGTTGCATAATTGAACACAATGAAAAGAAAGATTATTCGTTTAAGGTCTTAAGGGTTAACAACATCTATATGCTTAACTTGAATGATGTATCTTTAACAAGTACTGAGTATTTAGTAACCATGAGTGAAAACTTTTGGTTATGGTATATATGTTTAGCACATGCTAATTTTGATTTACTCAATAAAGTAGTTTCAAATGATCTAGTTATCGGTCTATCTAAAATTAAGTTTGTAAAAGATCACTTATACGATGCATGCCAAATGGAGAAGCAAACAAAGGTTTCTTTTAAATCTAAAAATATTGTCTCAACTTTTAGACCTCTTGAGCTTCTCCAAATGGATCTTTTTGGCCCTTCTTGGACAAAAATCCTAGGTGGTAATTATTATGATTTTGTTATTGTAGACGATTATTTTATATTTTGTTGGACTATCTTTTTGCGTAGTAAAGATGAGACTTTTTTAGCTTTCAGATCTTTTGCAATGTTATCGCAAAACAAACTAAGTGCAAATATAGTTGTTATTCGAAGTGGTCATGGAGGTGAATTTGAAAACTACATCTTTAAAGATTATTGTGATAAACATGGCATTGAACATAATTTTTTCGCTCCAAGAACTCCACAACAAAATTGTATTATATCGCGCAAAACAAAATTTTAGAGGAGTTGGAAAGAACCATGATCAATAAGAGTAGTCTACTAAAATATTTTTGGATTGATGTTATTAGCACGACGTGTTATATTTTAAATAGGATACTTATTCGTCTTATTTTGAACAAAAAACCTTATGAACTTTTAAAAGATTAAAAAAAAAAAAACAAATTTATAACATCTTCATGTATTAGGATGCAAATGTTTTGTTTTAAATAATGGTAAGGACAATCTTGGAAAGTTTAATGCAAAAGCCAACGTAGGTATCTTTCTTGGATACTCTCAGTCAAGCAATGCTTATAGAGTGTATAATAAGCGATTACTTACTGTTTAAGAGTCTGTGCATGTCACTTTTGATTAATATTATCCTAGAAATGTTGGGAAAGGTGTTTCTTTTCATGATGCAGGTTTATCTTTAAAAGACATACTCAAAGACACTGAAAAAGAAATTGATCAGCCTGAATCGATGAAACTAGAGGAGGAGAAAGATGACAATTCTGAAAAGGAAAAGGATGGGAGTTCAACTAAAGTGGGTGATCTTCCTTTGCTTTGAGGTCTTCCAAGGACCATCCAATTGTACAAAATTCTTGGAGACATCACCAAAGGTGTGAAACACACTCTAAGCTAAGTAATTTATGTTATCACGTTGCATTTGCGTCACAAGTTGAACCTAAAAACGCAAAAAAAATGCCTTAATTGATGAGCATTGGCTTTTGACCATGCAAGATGAGTTAAATCAATTTAAAATAAATGATGTGTGAGACTTTGTCTCAGTTTCACGAGATCATCAATGAGAAAGTATATGTTTGGCAACCTCCCAATTTTGAAAATCATGAGTATTCAAATCACGTATTTAAATTAAAATGAGCTTAGTATGGTCTCAAACAAGCACCTAGGACTTGGTATGAGCGACTTAAAAAGTTCTTACTTGCTTAAGGATGCTCTAGAAGGAAGGTTGATACAACACTTTTTGTTAAACTTCAAGGAAAATATCTTCTTCTAGTTCAAATTTATCTTGATGATATAATATTTGGTTTTACTAACATGCAATTAGTCAAAGAGTTTTCAAAGCTAATGCATGGAGAATTTTAGACGATTCTAATGGGTGAGTTGGATTACTTCCTCATACTTCAAATCAAACAGCTCGAAGAAGGGACATTTGTGTGTCAAACAAAATAATGTCAAAAGTTACTTAAACGCTTAAGAATGGGAAATGTAAAGTCAATCGATACTCAAATGCCCACTAACAGTAACTTAGATAAGTGGTAAGGATGTTGACTTCAAAAGGTATAGAACTTTGGTTAGAAAGTTCAATTTTATGTAAGTGCATTCTCTATCTCTCGTCCTATGAGGTAGTATCGTTTTATTTATCTCTTTGTTTGTAAGTTTTTATTTCATGTGTTGATTATATATCTCTTATATGTGATTGCATGCTTATGTTCTGAAAATATGTGCTACATTTGATAAATGATACATTTCATATATACTCACTTCCAAAAATTTCATTGTTAACTCATATACGTTTCAATCTATATGTTTATAGTGACTTCATGATTAGTATGTCAGTATAATATATGTCTCATGCTTTTGTCTCTTCACTTGGAAGTATTCTTGAGCTAGTGATGTTTTAGCATGTTATTTATGTTATTTTGTTTTGTCCTCATGCTTTTCTGCTTTATCAAAGTTACAATGTGTTTATAATAAACTCCTTGTAATATTGAATGAATTACATGTTTATTTATGTTTATGTATTTTTCAATTTAGTGTAATTCTATGTGAGTGCATGTTATCGTTAATTAATTGATCTTTTGTAAAGCCTATGAGTGATTTATATGTTGTTGTGTACTTTCAATGACACTTTTCATGTTTTGTACTTTTGTCTCTTTTTGATGTTGTCAAATGGTGAGCTATGATTAAGAACAAGGTCTTAAGATGAACATATTCAGAGGGGGCTATGATTAAGATGACAAATACTTTGTAAGTTTTGCCATCATAAAAAAAGGGGAGTATGTTAGTGCATTATCCTCGTAAGAAAGGTTTTGAATGATGTCAAAACTATAACACTTAGTAACTTGAAACCAGGTTAGATATGCCATTACAAGTCAAAATTGTGGTTTTATATGAAAAATAAAAGTTATGGGTCGATACATCCATGTTATGTGTCAACACATACTGAAGGATTTTTGAAATAAAAGTTATTACCCTTTATCTATTGATATATAACATTTATGTATCAATACATAAAATCTTTGAGCCAATACATAATATTTTGGAGTCAATGCTGAAATTCTGGTATACAGATCTCAAAAGTCCCAAGAGATGTTGAGACATTAATTTCTGCATAACTAAACAAGGACATAACAGAATATGCCATAACAAACTGATATGTCAAACTTAAAACAGTGTAATGACAGATGTGTCAACATCTGTAAGACATGTATTTTACAGCAAGAAACAAAACTAAAATATTTACAACAGAATGATAAATAATGCCAAGATATGATGACCCAGTTCAGTGAACAACAACACCTACATTTTGGGGCTACCAAGCCAGGAATGAATCCATTATTAGTAGTATTAATTTAAAGTTAAATTCTCTCATTTACAACTCCTCACTTAATCCCTACCTAGTGCAACTTCTCTCTAGAAATTACTATCTAGATAAGAGAAACTCATCTTAATTCCTAAATCACCTCAGTGATATCTAACAGTCACAACCTCCGGTGACTATATCAAATTGTTTAATTGAAAGACACCTCTCAATATAATATTCAGTCAAAACTCTTGAATAACAATAATGCTTGAATTTGCTTAATGACTTCATCCAAGAACAATATACAATTCATTATCTACAGACTTCTGAGTATCAAAGCTATGTCTACCACAATGTATCAACTGATACAAAGGGTGACTTACAACACAAGAAAGTACACGACTCTCAAAACCCTAAACCTTTATAATTAAATTCCAAGCATTTATTACAAGGTCTCCTCATGCCCTATGTC